CCCGGGTTCTCTCTTGAGTATGATACTCTTCCACTCTCTCCCACTTTCTCTTTCTCCTTCCCCTCAAAACCGCCAAATAAAAACTGTTTTACTTCACTGCTTGTCTACTCCTGAAATTCTTTTCTGCGAGGCAAGATAAGAACCCAGGAAGCCTGGGCCCCCCCCGGGTGGCAGAGGCAAAATCAGGAGAAGATGACCATCTTTCTCTCCTCCCAACCCACGTGAGCCATTCATGGGGTCCACTGACATCAGTATGAGTGCAAGAGTTTTCTTTCTTTCCTTCTTTTTTTTTCTTTTGGGTGCTCAGGGCTAACTCCAGGCTCTGTGCTCAGGGATCACTCTTGGCCATGCTTGGGACCCCATATGGAGTGCTAGAGATCAAACCTGGGTAAGCTGTGTGCAAGGCAAATGCCCTTTTCACTGTACTATTGCTCCAGCCCCGAGTCACAAGAGTTTTCTGGTCCCTTAATTTGAGCAGAACTTCTGGTTGACCCTAATTAGTACTCCTTGGTTCTGAAGTTCTCTCTGGAGGCTGGTGAGATGGTGAGAATGTGCAACATATGCAAAGGGCTAGTGTATATATTTCGCAAGCTAGAGGTCTAGGTTAGAGCACTGGTACCACATGGTTCTCTGAGCACTAGCCAGGAGTAGGCCCTGGAACACAGCTGGTGTTGTTCCCAAACAAAAAATAAACAGAAGCTTCCTCCAGACCAGTAATTGGACATTAGGGTGGAACGCAAGGACTCCCAGACTAGGTCCCCAGAGTTGGTCCTTCACTCTCATTGGTGACAGTGAAGATCATGAAGAATATTTCTCTAAAAGAACACCAGTGTGGGCCAGGGAGACACAGTACAGCAAGTAAGGGGCCTGCTGTGCAATGCAGCTAATTCAGACTCAGTCCCTAATACTACCTATGGTTCTCCCATACACTGCCAGGAGTAACCCCTGAGCATAAAACCAGGAATAAGCCCTGAGCACCATCAGATGTGGCCCCAAAGTTTAAAAAGATAAAAGAAAGAAAAGGAAAAGAAAAGAAAATCAGAATTTATGATTCCTAGAAGGATATCATGCAGGCAGAAATAGCACACACAGGATGTGGCTCAGCAATCAGTGACAGAGCACTTGCCTTGCATGTGTGAGACCTTGAGTTGGATCCCTGGTACTGCCAAACAAGCAACAACAACAACAACTAAAACAGCATAAGTCTACCACTGTCAACCAAAGGCTGTCATCAAGGAACTCAGCAGAGTGGTAGGGAACTGTTAGATAGTTTTTTGATTATAGAGTTAGCAGTTAAAAAAGCTTCTAACTTGTGAGCTGGGTCTTAAGGTTGAGAAAATTCTACTCAAGCAGTAGAAGTTGAGGATCTTTAATGAAGGCAACAACTTAAAGTTGAGTATAGGCCTGGTGACATGGAATGTTATAATGTATTAGGGAATGGCGAGTCATCTGTTACAGCTGGAGCGTAAGTTGGATAGATGGGACTGCAGAAGAACAATGCTGAAACACAGTACATTCATATATGAGGTAATGAATCAAGCAGTTCTCCGCAAAGGAGATGAATCTAGATTCTGTCTGCAGTGAAGTCCTGAAGGTGGTTAAACAGAGGAGTGACAAAATCATGTCTATGTTTGCGAAACACTCTAAAAGATAATTTGACAATACATAAGTGTTTATATTTTTGACACAAATCACACATGGAGATATTTAGCCCGAGCAAATAATTGAACAAATGCAAAAAGGATATAAGAATATCCAATGAAGGCCAGAGCTGTGGCTCAGAGGCTGAAGTGCACGCCTTATGTCTGATCCCAGACTTGATCCTCACACCACATTGTTCCCTCTCTTCCCCCCACCTCCCAATCTCTTATGACCTCCCCGCAAAAGAATTTCCACGAAAATATTATTCATAAAAGTGAAAAATTGAAAACAAAAATTAAACACTACTTTGTAGCCAACTCAAATAGATGATATGATCGAAAAGCTCGGAACCTGCACTCTGAACCTGGCCATTTCGCACTCAGGTCAGTCCATAAAGCATGCCACCCAGCCTGCCCAACTAGGCCTTGGAAGACCCAGCCCCAGTCCCACAAACTCAATGCTAGAAAACTGTACTCAGAACCAGTCATTTCACTCCTAAGTCAAGACTACCCAGAACGTGAGGCCGCTAATGCAACCATGCATTTTTCACTTCATCAAATAGATAATAATACCAAATATTTACGTAGCACAATACTGTGTAATCTTACAAATTGCAAAGCAAATAATTATGAGGGCTGAAAGGATAGTACAGAAGATAAGAAGCTGGCCTTGCAAGCAGTCGATCATGGCTCAAATCCCCAGCATTGTATATGGTGTACGGATCTTTTATTGCATACTATTAAGATATGCATATCTTAATGTATGTGTGTGTGTGTGTGTGTGTGTGTGCTAGAGCATCTGCCTTATGTTACAGCAGGCCCTGAGTTCTATTTCTGGCACCGTCCTGCACCACAGTGAAATTCATAGTAGAGCTATTGTGTTTCTCAGGGCCATGACAAGTGTGCAATCTCCAGATACCACAACTGCAAAGAGGAGGGGAAGGGGAAATTTATTTTAAAGCAAATTTTAAAAGTAGCAGTAATTAGAAAACATTTTGTTTAATATATAAATTATACTATTAATTTAACATATAAATTGTATTATTAAATGTCTAAAAATTGGGGCCAGAGAGATAGTACAGCGGATAAGCTACTTGCCTTGCATGCTGCTGACGTGGGTAATGATCTCCATGGCACCCCAAAGAGTCCCCTGAGCACTGCCAGGAGTAATTCCTGAGTGCCGAGCCAGGAATAAGCCCTGAGAACTATTGGGTGGAGTCCAAAATAACAAACAAATATAAAAGTATATATAGTTTCAACATATACCAATACAAAATTTGAAATGTTGGTTTCTCATATCTTCAAGATCTGGTGTATATTTGTACAGCTCATCTGAAAACTTTATTTTCATGTAGGGCGTTTGCCTTGCACGCAGCCAACATGGCCGACCCAAGTTTGATTCCTCCGCCCCTCTCGGAGAGCCCGGCAAGCTACCGAGAGTATCTCGCCCACACGGCAGAGCCTGGCAAGCTCCCCGTGACATATTTGATATGCCAAACACAGTAACAACAAAGTCTCCAATGGAGACATTACTGGGCCCGCTCGAGCAAATCGATGAACCACGGGAGGGCCTTTACCTTTACCTTTACCTTTAGAACATGGGCTGGAGCGATAGCACAACGGGTAAGGCGTTTGCCTTGCATGCGGCCCATGCGGCCAACCTGAGTTCGATTCCTCTGCCCCTCTCAGAGAGCCCGGCAAACTACCGAGAGTATCTTGCCCGCAAGGCAAAGCCTGGCAAGCTTCCCTAGACATATTCAATATGTCAAACACAGTAACAAGTCTCACGATGGAGACATTACTGGGCCTGCTTGAACAAATCAATGAACAATGGGAGGACAGTGCTACAGTGCTATTTAGAACACATTTTATTCTCAAGATCATATTCTCAAAAAGATACATTTTATTTAAAAGTTCATATATTTAAATGAATATAATCAATTTTGAACGAACACATTTATGTTCATACAAATATGGACCAATTTCGAGGTTGGAGGACAAACCAGAGTTCTGTTGTTTGTTCTTGTAGTAACATGGATCAAACCAGTGTTTTTCCGTTTTGATCTTTGTGTCCCACATCTCACCTGGTAGTAGTCTGGAGATCACATGTGGTGCTGGGGACCTAACCAGGTAGGCAACGTACAAGGCAAGCACTGTAACTCCTGTACTATCTCTGGCACCCAGGTAAAGGGCCTTATTGTGATGAATAAGGACTGACAGCTGGCTCTTCGAGCACAGTCCTTGCCTCTCAAGGAGTGTAGGTCACAACTGTGCCGGGCAAGGCCTACTGGCCTGCATGTTACTGTGTTAGGGTCCGAGCTCAGGACAGCCTCACCTGTCAAGGAAAACTCTGAGAGACCAAGTCCATGCAAAATCAAGAGGTTTATTCGAGCATGCTCGGGCTCACAGCATGACCCCAAACGGTCAGTGACTGAGAGCCCTGAGCCTCTTCAAAGGGGGCTTTTTATAGGGCATCTTCCTGCACATTTCAGAAAGCCCGCGCACAAATCACCCAATACATTTGAATTATCACATTAGATGCTGCGCGCAGGCAGCCAATCATTTTGCAACAAGCCATCAGCACCAGCCACTCTCCTCTGTACCTGTCACCAGGCCCTCCCAGCGGGCAGTCAATTAGGCCTTTTCATTAGGCCTTCTCCAGCCTTGTGGCCTTATCTGGTGAATTCCAGGTGCAAGGAGGAGATGGAGGTACTTGGTGTTGGGCCTTGTTAGGCGGATTCCAGGACAAGGAGATGCCTCATTAGGCCTTCTCCAGCCTTGTGGCCTTATCTGGCGAATTCCAGGTGCAGGGAGGAGATGGGGGTACTTGGTGTTAGTAGCCTGCCACAGCTGCAGGACGGGACATGGGCTGGGACTTGCTTTGCTAGGGCCAAATTGTCATGGGGCTATCTTTCAACTGCATTTAAGTATCTGTTTTAAACCTCCGGGTTACCCTTTCCCGGAACCACGCGGTAAACTGGGGGCAAGTTCCAGTATTCACTGGATGGCGCTGCGACAAGCAATTTCCATGCTCTAGGCAAACGCATCTCAAGGAAGATTGGGTGGGCCCAGCTTGATCACCAACATCCCAACCACTGGGGTTGGACTAGGCAGTGCAAGTCGAAACTGGGTCGGCTTGGGCAAGCCGCTTAACTTCGCAGCGTTTGGTTCCCTGCCGTAAATTCAGGCATTCTTCCCAAGCACGCGCTGAACTGCGGTCCAGGGCCGACGAGGCAGCACGAGGCCCCGAGACGGCGCCGAATTCCTGGAGCCACGCAGCCGCCTTCGCGTTCCGCGCATGCGCGGTGGCAACCCGGAAGCGGGCCCGACTTCCGGTTCCGGGAGGGAGCGGCGGCCGGGCTGAGGCGCATGGCGGCGCCCGCGGAGGCGGCCGCCGGGGGCGCGGAGGAGACCGCGGCGCGCGAGGAGTCGCCAGTTCTGCCACCCGGCGCCGCCCCGTTCGGAAATTTCCCCTGTTACTCCCGCTTCCACCCGCCAGAGCAACGCCTCCGCCTCCTGCCCCCGGATCTGCTTGGCCGGCTCTTCCCCCAGGGTTCGGAGACGAGGCCGATTCTGGGGCTGGACGTGGGCTGTAACTCCGGGGTGAGTGACGCGGGGGGGGACCCGCGGCCCCTGGAACTCGGGGCGCCAGCCCCACGACTCCCCCGTGGCGTTGGGGTCCCCAGGGACAGACTCATCAACCCCCCCGCAGGACGCACCCTGAGGTCCCGGGGCGCTTGGAGCGCAGGGACATCGGGCCTTTTGCTTCCGGTCACACCCGGTGATGCTCAGACCTTGTTCCCGGCAGGGCTTGGGGGACCAGGGAGGGGAGGTGCTGGGGCTCGAACCCTGATTCGGCTGCGCGCTAGGCAAGCTCTCTACCTACGGTGCTGTCGCTCCAGCCTTTATTTTGCAACCCTGAACCTGTTGAGGACAGTGCGGGGGTCCCCAGGGAAAGAGCCTCCCTGGAGGTGGGGGCGTCCCCACCAAGGCATCTTAGGTGTGCAGTGATTCTCGCAGAGCCACGGCTGGAATAAGGGTCTCTAACAGCCCATTGTAGGCTGTGCTAGACAGGCAGGAATTCTGGCCCTAAGATTTTCAGTCCTTTAACGGAGAATCCCGTCTCCGTTCCAGACTAGGAGCTGGGGGCTAGGGGTGAAGGTGGGGAATGGTTGGGGCCTCCTATTCATTCTCAGTGGGCCAGCCCCGCAGGTAACTGCCAGGCTTTAGGATGTGTTGCTCAGCCGCTACTCTGGGCCACGTCTAGTAGGGGGCAGCTCCAGGACTGCAACCCGTTGAGGCTTCAGAGGCCAGTTGGTGCCAGTGATCTAAGCAGGGTGGACAGCATGCAAGTTATATGCCTTAACCCCTTGGCTATCTCTGCAGCCCAAGGTTGTTTTGTTTTGTTTTTTAATGGGGAAGGGGGGTGCAGAAACCTGGCTTTGTGCTAGAGAGTGTTCAGGGACCCATGCAGTGCTGGGAATGGGGCCTCCTGCATGTGAAGCATGTGATCAGCTTATTGAACCACCTCTACTCCCAAGGAAAATTTGGCTGTGCATCTGACCTTAGGTAGAACTTCAGTGAAGGGTTGGAGGTTGTATTTGACATGAATTGGTTAAGGGAAGGGGACATTTGGATATAGACCCAAAGATGGGATGGGCAGATGACTGGGTGTATCACCTGCAGACAGTTATCTACCATGATAGAGGAAATCAGGAGGGAAGGCACTGGAACAGTCTAAGCTTGAGGTTTGAGATTTCATAAAGGAAATTAGGAAACCATAGGAGATTCTAAAATTGAGTATAGGGGCTGGAGCGGTAGTACAGTGGATAGGGCATTCGCCTTACACACGGCCGACCCAGGTTCAATCCCCAGCATCCCATATGGTCCCCCGAGCCCTGCCAGGAGTAATTCCTGAGTGCAAAGCCAGGAGTAACCCTTGTGCATCACCGGTTGTGACCTAAAAAGCAAAAATAAATAAAATAAGAAATAAAATTGAGTATAGCATACATACACATTGAGGGCAAAGATGAAGTGGGTGGTGGTTCCCATTTGATGACTACATATAGGGACTTTTAATTTTTTATTTATGAAAAAATTCTGGGCCTGAGAGATAGTACAACAGGTAAGATAGTACAACGGGAGTTTGCCTTCATGCAGCCAGTCCAGGTTTAATTCCCAGCATCCCACATGGTCCCCTGAGAACCACCAGGTGTGCCCCCACCCAACCCCCCCCCCCCCCCCCCAGAATGCTTGCACTTGATAAAACGAAAAGAAGTAAAAAGACAAAGGCACATGGACGTCCAGGAATGTGGCTTCGTAGAGCATTTGCCTTGCATATATGAGGCCCTGAGCTCGATTTCTGCAAAAAGGAGGGAAGCATAAAATCTATGTTTAATTCCTCAATCTACACTCTTTTTTTCTCTGTACACAAAGACAGCCACTGTTTATAATCTGAGTATATATCCAATTTATGTATCAGTATCTCCTTTCAGTGTTATAACTATCCTACTGTTTTAACCATGCTTTTTGTTTAATAATTTGTAGATTGTCCATGTCCCTAGCAGCTTCATTAATTCATTGTGTAGATGGTCCATAATGGGATGCTTTGCCTAGGTGTTAAAAAGTGGGATTCACTCTAGGGACTAGGAGATAGTACATCAGTTAGGGCATATGCCTGGCATGCACCTGACCTGGGCTTGGTTATTGAACTGCATGCAAAGCATGTGCACCTGCCCTTTGAGCTATCTCCTATGCATTGTCTTGCATTTTTACTCAGCGTTGTATATTTATGCCATCCATGTTGCTGCACTGAGCAGAATTCCCTCGTTTTTAACTATTTGCTTCTCCATCATATGGGGCTGGAGCAATAGCAAAGCGGTAGGGCATTTGCCTTGCATGCAGCCGGCTTGGCCGAGCCAGGTTCGATTCCTCCGCCCCTCTCGGAGAGCCCGGCAAGCTACCGAGAGTATCTCGCCTGCACGGCAAAGCCTGGCAAACTACCTGAGATGTATTCAATATGACAAACACAGTAACAACAGGTCTCACCATGGAGACGTTACTGGGCCCGCTCGAGCAAATTGATGAATAACGGGAGGACTGTGATCCGTGACCGTGATCATACTGAATATACCATGTCTTTATTATACTTCTGTTATTAGATATCTGGGTTGTTTCCAGCCACACTTTCTTAATCTGAACAAGGAATAATTATTTTTCTCACTTGATGGTAGCACAGAGAGAGAGGGTGAATAAAAAAATTCCTTGAGAAACCCTTTTTAGTCTGGCAACACACATTGAGTTAGTTGAAGGGTCTAAGAAATCAGAGTTAGGGAAAGGAGAGAGTGACTTGTTTAGAATGCAGAGAGACATACAGGCACTTGCTTTGCACCTGGCTGAACTATTTCAATCCCCGGCCCTTCGTATGGTTAGTGACCCCTGAGCACAACGCCAGGAGTAAGCTCTCAGCACAGCCAAATGTGGCCCCAAACGCCATTTTCCCTTCTCTCCCCCCCCCCCACCCCGCCAAATAGTTGGGGCAAGAGAGATAGTAGAGGACTTATGGTAGTGGGGATGCACATGGCTGACCCCAGTTTGATCCCTGGCACCATGTATGGTCTCCTGAGCACCAGCTGGTGTTGCCCCAAAACAGAGAGCTCATAGAGCTGGAGTGGCATGCCTTACATGTGAAGGCCCCAGGTTCAATATACAAAACTGTTCGGTTCCCCAAGCACTGCTGGGTGACTTCCAAGTATTTCTGGGAGTGACCCTTGAATTCCTAAGCACTGCTTGGGAACAAACACCTCCGCACCGCTGCGTACAAAGGTGTTAGCACAGTGAAAAATTACGAATCACTGGATTTGACTGAAAGGACTTTGGGGAGCAATGGATGCAGAAATGAAGCATGTCTCATAAGGGAAGTGAAACATATGGCCGATGATGAATTTCTTTTTCAAAGTGGGGAGTACTTTCCAGCTCCACTCCAAGGCACACCCCACTCTGAAATGGTCTGGGGTGGGGGGTTCGTAGTTATATATTTGGGGGACATTTTCTGTTTATTCACTTTGGAAAAGATTTTTCAGGGAGATAAGGCATTTTTCTTTTGGTTTTTGGACCACACCTGGCAGTGCTTAAGGTTTGCTTCTGGTATGGATCTCAGGACTCATACCTGGCTCTCAGGACCCATTGCAGGACTATATGGGGTGCCAGGGATCGAACGTGGGTTGGTCACTTGCAAGGCAAACACCCTACCTGCTGTGCTGTCTGTCTTTCTGGCCCTCAGTAACTTTTCTGCAAAGGGTAAAATAAGTTTAGGAAGCTGTGTTGCAGAGTGAATGTTGAATGAGAACTTTGGGAATCCAGAATTTCGACCACAGGTCTAAGAAATAGGAACATGCTGTATTCCTCACCTTGCTGGTAAGGAACATTTGCTATTGGGTCACACCCGGCGATGCACAGGGGTTACTCCTGGCTCTTCACTCAGAAATCACTCCTGGCGGTGCTCAGGGGACCATATGGGATGCTGGGAATTGAACCTGGGTCGGCCGCGTGCAAGGCAAATGCCCTACCTGCTGTGCTATTGCTCCAGCCCCACCTCTGGAATTATTTTTTCCTCCCAGGGTCTCAGATATCTGAGCTATTCCCTCAAAAAGAAAGAAAGAAAAAGAAAGAAAGAAAGAAAGAAAGAAAGAAAGAAAGAAAGAGTTTACCTGCATATTGCCTAAGCTGTAAATACTGCTATGGGTTCCTTTGCTACATCCACTGGGCTATAACTTCAGTCATATACCCTGGGGGTGTATGGTTGGGCTATATGATTATATGATCTAAATGCCATTGACTGACATTTAGAAGATGTTTAAGGGCAGGGAGATAGCTCAGAGGGCTAGAGCATAGCTTTGTAAGCTGCTTGCGAGGTTACTGCCACCTTTCTGGAATGATGTTACAGCCTAAGACCTCTGGAGGGCACTGAGAGCCTGCTCTGCAAAAATGTTTGGGCAGCCTCCTTAGACTATAGTTGAAGAACCCACATGCTATAAATCCAGGAGTAAGTGGCAGTCTCAGTGGGAAAAGAAGAGCTATAGACGTCACTTTGATTTACTGGTTGAGAGCCGCAATGACAAAGCTCTTTTGGGTTCCTCTAGGATCTGAGTGTGGCTCTGTACAAACACTTCCTTTCCCTGCGTGATGGGGAGACCTGCTCCGACGCCTCAAGAAAACTCCGTTTCCTCTGCTGTGACATAGATCCAGTTCTGGTGGCACGAGCTGAAAAAGAATGCCCTTTTCCTGATGCCTTGACCTTTATCACCCTGGACTTCATGAATCAAAGGACGCGGAAAGTTTCCTTGAGTTCTTTCTTAAGCCAGTTTGGATGCTCGGTTTTTGATATTGGCTTCTGCATGTCGGTAACCATGTGGATTCATCTGAACCACGGTGACCGTGGCCTGTGGGAATTTCTGGCTCACCTTTCCTCCCTCTGCCACTACCTCCTCCTAGAGCCACAGCCCTGGAAGTGTTACCGGGCAGCTGCACGGCGTGTCCGGAAACTGGGCCTCCACGATTTTGATCACTTCCACTCCCTTGCCATCCGAGGTGATATGGCAAAACAGATTGTACACATTTTGACCCAGGATCATGGCATGGAATTAGTATGCTGCTTTGGCAACACCAGCTGGGATCGTAGCCTTCTGCTCTTCAAGAAAAAACAAGGCACGGAGACTCATCCTCATTCAATCCCTGAATTATTGACAGAAGAAGGGAAAGAAAGGAACAGATGAAGATTATGTAGACAGTGAAATAGGAGGGTATGAAGATCTGTGAAGACATATTTAATATTGAGGATTAAGTCTCCTTAATTCCCTATTATCAGGCAACCTTGAAACCTGACAAACTTTTGGTAAAATGTCCTAGAATTGTAATGGCAAGAATCAGTACTTGTTCCCCATTTTTGGGGGGATGATTCCTGTGTAGACTACATCTGTGAAATGAAATGGACTTTCTACATTGAGAGGGTCTGGCTCTGGGATAGAAAGGATGTTTGGGTGGTTATTTGTAAAGACTTAGGTCAGGCTAGCCTTAAAATGCATTGGTCCTCTGGGTTCCTTCAAGCTGATCTGGATTCTTCTGACTTCTGACATACTTGCTCTGCTATTGGGCAGAACCTCATATAATTTGGAATGAAGATTCACTACCCTAATTAGTGAAGAAGGTTAGTAGCTCTCTTTCCAGGGCCAGGTTTCCAACATGCCCAGGCTCAGCCCAGCAGATGCAGATAACAGGCAAGATGCATTGACTGGCATTTAGAAGATTTTGAAAGCCAGTATTCAGGTCTCCCAAAGAAGAATAGAAAGAGCTATGCTTGGAATATCACGTTTCACTCAAATGAGAGAACGAATCCGGAGTTCTGACATCCGTCGACGATCAAGGATCAGGGACGCTGTCTCATTTGCCAAGGTGTCGAAAATCAGATGGGCTGGTCACGTAATGAGATTTAAAGACGACCGCTGGACTAGAGCTGTTACCGACTGGATTCCACGGGATGTCAAAAGACCGCGTGGCCGCCCACCTACCAGATGGTCAGACTTCTTCGTCAAGATCATGAACGATCGGTTTGAGGCTCTTCATGATCCCAGAGCGAACAGATGCCATTGGGCTACACTAGCACGCGACAGGGACAAATGGAGACGTTACTGGCGCCCGCTCGAGCAAATCGCCGACTAACGGGAAGTTAAGTGATTAAGTGAAAGCCAGTGAGTCGTTCAGAGAGCTAGAACATATGCTTTGCAAGCAGGAGCCACCGCTCGCACTTGTACGGTTCCACTGAGTAGCACCAGGAGCAATCCCCAAACCTCGAACCCTCGAGCAGCCTTTGGACCTTGCTGTGGTCCAAACAACAAAAGACATTTGAAAGGTTTAAGTATGATAGTAAAATCTAACTGGTACAAATGAAGTGAGATTGTATACACTATATACATATTTATACCAATAAAAGTGACTGTTGTGAATCTGGGGTAAATAAGAAAGCCTGGTTTTTGGTTTTTTGTTGTTTGTTTGGTTTGTTTTTTTGGAGGGTCTCAGAAAACCAAAACAGGAGCCAGAGAGATAGTATAGGGGTTAAGATTAAACACAACTGACCTGGGTTTGATCCTTGGATTCCTCAAGCACCACCAGGAGTGGCCCTGAGCACTGGGTGTGGTACAAAAACCAAAGGAAAGAGAGTAAATATGCCTAGCTAAGCAAAAAGATTTCATTGATGATCTTCAAAATCCTTAAGAGCTTGTTATTTCTAAATTGAAGTTATAAAGGCGGAGCAGGGTACAAGACTCTCCATCACTGATTAGAGATTGGAACTGTTGATTGAGAAGTTATTTACAGTTTCTGCATCTTGGGACTGGCTTACGGGGGTTAAGGCACTTGCCTTGCATGCAGCTAACTCCGGTTAGATACCCAGTTACTTTTGCTCCCCCAAACACCACTGGAAGCAGCCCCCAGCATCAGCAAGTATGCCCCCCCAAAATATATAATTTACTACATGATAGGTAGACATGGAGTGAAATTCCTAAGCAATAAGAGAGTGGAACTAAAAGCTTTCATTTAGGAAAATGAAATTTTCTATTTCATGCAGGATAATTGTGTGGTTTGTATCTGTGGTGCCATTACACTCAGAATATTCTTTTTCAGTCTTTTTAGATTGCTTCTTTCTCCTGACTGCTTTTTTTTTTCCCCTTGCTTTTTTGAGTCACACCCAGTGATGCACAGGAGTTACTCCTGGTTCTTGCACTCAGGAATCACTCCTGGTGGTGCTCGGGGGACCCTATGGGATGCTGGGAATCGGACCTGGGTCAGCTGCGTGCAAGGCAAACACCCTACCTGCTGTGCTATTGCTCCAGGCCCCTCCTGATTGTTTTTTGTCCTGATGACTCTTCAAACCCTTGACTCTCCCTACTCCATTACTCTAGCAAATGGCCTAACTACTAACTAGTGCCGTTTTTGTTTGCACTGACAGTTTTTTTTCTTGGCTTTACTCTTAAATCCCTCCCCTTCCCTCCATTTTACTTTCCAACTTATCTAGTGAACTTTTCACCCAAATAACCTCTCATTAGGGGCTAGAGCAATAGTACAGCAGGTCTGGCATTTGACTTGCATATTGCTGACCTGGATTTTCATCTCAGATGGTTCCCTGAGCCCCACCAGAAGTGATCCTAAGCACAGAGCCAGGAATAAGACATGGTCACTCCAGGTGTTGCCCCAAAACCTGATCAAATCACTGCCTTTAGCAAAGCATGTTTTTTAGAGGATATCCCCTTGATATCCTGGCCTTGTTTACTCCTTCCTGCCCACCTACTGACATGGTCAGCTCTCACCCCCAAAATAACCAACTTTTTCTGTCTTACCCCTCTCTCAAACGCAGGGAGTCTCTCCCCATCTCTTCAAACATGAACAATAACCCTGAAAGAATGGACTCCGTAGTCTCTGCTCACTCACCTCTTAGTCAGGAAGGACATTTCTTGAATGTCAAGTTGTGAGGCCCCTAAGTCAGCACCATTCATCACTATAGCCCCTCGAACATACTAAGCCTTTTATTTATTTATTTATTTATTTATTTATTTATTTATTTTTGGCTTTTGGGTCACACCCGGCAATGCACAGAGGTTACTCCTAGCTCTGCACTCAGGAATGACTCCTGGCGGTGCTCAGGGGACCATATGGGGTGCTGGGAATCGAACCCGGGTCGGCCGCGTGCAAGGCAAACACCCTACCCGCTGTGCTATCGCTGCAGCCCCCAAGCCTTTTTTTCCCCATTGCCTGCTAGAGCAAATCAATGAACAATGGGGAACAGTGCTACAGTGCTAGTCTTCTTCCTCTATCTCTTTCCATTCCTTAAATACTTCCTTTGAGTTTTAATTTGCATACAGATTAAACTATAGAAATAGCAATTTGAGTAGTCAGGAATAGGTTGATTCATTATTGGTTGTTTGGTTCCATTTTATTTTGCTTTGGGCCCACACCCAGCTGTGCTCAGGGCTTACTCCTTGCTCTGTGCTCAGAGATCACTCTCAGTACCTGACAAGGCTTGGAGAGCCATCTGTGGTGCTGGGAATCAAACTCCAGGTCAGCTGTGTGCAAGGCAAGCACCTTACCTGCTGTATTATCTCTCTGGTCTGGTACAGGTGTTTTTTTTTTCCTGTTGTTTTTTGTTGGGTGGGTGGTGACACCCAGTGGTGGTCAGGGCCTTCTCCTTGCTCTGACCAAGAGGTACTCCTGGCAGTGTTCAAGAAACTAAATGAGAATCTCAGAAGAGAACAGCAACTGCAGAGCTGTCTCTCCACCCCGTACCATTAGGCACCTCGGAGGATAGCCACCACACGGCTGACCTTCACCGGCTCACCCCAAGCCCCCCATGCATGAAACTGTATCGCTGAAAAATCCAGGTATATGGGAGTTGTGACTGAAATCTCCAGGTTTCTGGAATCACAAATGAAACCTCCACCCATCTCTCTGAGCTTCGAGCTTCCTTTTTCCTGGCAGCCATGTCCATAAACTGCCTCTGCGCGCCATTTGAGCACATTAATGGCCATGATCTAGACTCACAAATGAATCTTGTAAGAGAGCAGCATGTTGCAGAGATTCCTCTGGACCCCCAAATCACCAACCAGTTAAAAAAAAAATTTTTTTTTTGGACTTATGTTCTAGCACCCTCTGAAAAAATTGTAGAATTCCAGGAATGCGCAGCCACACATTTCGTACAATTATGCCGCTGATATACCAAGAGTAGCACACCACATTTGATGGGGATGTAAGGCAGAAGAAAACCAATATTGATTAATATATATATATATACACACACATGCACACGTGTGCACGCACACACACACACATTAGCACACAAACTCTAACAACATGTTAGTGATCACTAATTCAGGGGCTTAATAGCTCCAAGATGAGATACAACAATTTTCACACCCTTTCCTCTAAGGAAACCTTTTGGATAATTTTTAGTCAATTATTCATAACAAGCAATACAAAATAAATTATTTAGCATCTGCCTCTGGGGTGGGCTTGGGTGGTGATGGGAAAACTCGAAGTAAAGGTGGTGGGAAGGTGTAATGGTGGGACTGGTGTTGAAATATTGAATAATCAATTACTGTGAACAACTCTTTGAAATTAAAAAATTTTAATTTTAAATAAGAGAAACTATAGGAGGTGTTGGGTCTCTAACTGAGGTTGGCAATGCTTAAGGGTAAACTCTTTAACCCTGTATTATCTTTCTGGCCCTATTTTTTCACATTGTTTTTTATTATGGCAAAATATATGTAATCTGTTTTACTTATGCCTTGCAGGGGCTGAACCAGATCCAGTCTCTAGCACTGCACATCCATGAACACTGCAGGGAGCTCCCCTCCCCCAGCACAGAGCAAAGAGTCACTCCTGAGCACTGCCAGCTGTGGCCCCCCAATCTTATGTATGTATGTGTGTGGGTGTAATATAAATTTACCACTTTTAAGTGTATAATTCTATAGCATTAAATACAGTCACAGTGACAGATCTGTCTCCCTTAGCTTTGAGTGTATGAGGTAGGTGGCAATCCCAGCAGTGCTTGAGGGATTATGAGGGGCCAGGGCTCGGGCATATCAAGCATGTGCTCCAACCACTATGGCCCTTGCCCCCAGCACTGACCCCTGGGTAAGATATAAAAGTGGGTTTCAATCTTTTTCATGCTCAGGAAGTAGTGATTCCCAAATTCAACTCATGCACTGTAGCACTGTCCTCCCGTTGTTCATTGATTTTTCTCTTGCGGGCCCAGTAACATCTCCATTTTGAGACTTGTTACTGTGTTTGGCGTATTGAATACATCACGGGTAGCTTGCCAGGCTTTGTCATGCGGGCGAGATACTCTCGGTAGCTTGCCAGGCTGAAGGGAGGAGGAATCGAACCCAGCTTGGCCAGGCTGGCTGCGAGCAAGGCAAACACCCTACTGCTGTGCTATCACTCCAGTTTCAACTCAAGCAGGTGTTAGATACCCAAGATCAGTTGGGTTCTTTGAGCCCCCTGGGACTGAGACTGACCTGTTCACGGTGAATAGAAAGAGTATTATTAGGTTTGATGTAAAGGTCTGCCAATAACATACTGTGATCACCAAGTCAGATCATTTACCCTCTCTAAGCCTTGGTTTACTCATCTGCACAATTGAAAATACCAAGATCATCCTTTTCCTCTGCCTAATTATATTAAAGGATGTGAAGGTAACTGGCAGAGTGTTAAAACAAAAACAAGGTGCTAATTTACTCTAGAAGTATATCAGACTACTGCTATGCTTGTTAGATCAAAGCCTTATAAGAAACTCTCCTGTAGAAAAAAATGTGCATCTTACTAATATGCATTCTA